CAAATCACCCCTGACAGATGGCCATCCAGCCTCTGTTTAAAAGCCTCCAAAGAAGGAGCCTCCACCACACTCCAGGGCAGAGAGTTCCACTGCTGAACGGCTCTCACAGTCAGGAAGTTCTTCGTGTTCAGATGGAATCTCCCCTCTTGTAGTTTGAAGCCATTGTTCCTTGTCCTAATCTCCATGGAAGCAGTAAACAAGCTTGCTCCCTCCTCCCTGTGGCTTCCTCTCACATATTTATACATGGCTATCATATCTCCTTTCAGCCTTCTCTTCTTCAGGCTAAACATGCCCAGCTCCTTAAGCCGCTCCTCATAGGGCTTGTTCTCCAGACCCTTGATCATTTTAGTCGCTCTCCTCTGGACACATTCCAGCTTGTCAATATCTCTCTTGATTTGTGGTGCCCAGAATTAGACACAATATTCCAGGTGTGGTCTAACCAAAGCGGAATAGAGGAGCAGCATTACTTCCCTGGACCTAGACACTATGCTCCTATTGACTTCAGCTCTCATAATCCCTAACAGCCTCAGGTCCCTTCTTTTTTGCTTAAGCAGCTGAGGGGAGAAAGGAAGCGGCCTGAGGTTGTTAGGAATTGAAGGAGCTGAAGTCCAAAACCCTTTGGAGGCCCAAGTTTTCCCATGCCTGGGTTAACCCTATTCTGCCAGGCAGGAAGGCACAATCCAAACCTTCCTGGCCACCTGTCAGGGGTGCTTTGAATGTGATTTTCCTGCTTCTTGGCAAGGGGTTGGACTGGATGGCCCACAAGGTCTCTTCCAACGTACCTCTTCCCGTACCTTGGGAAGCCTGACTTGGCCACGGTAGTCCATGCTCTGGTTACATCACGTATAGACTACTGGAAAGCGTTCTACGTGGGGTTGCCTTTGAAGACTATCCGGAAACTTCAAATGGTCCAATGGACGGCAGCCAGATTTTTTTGTTTGTTTTTTGTCATGTCAGGAGCGACCTGAGAAACTGCAAGTTACTTCTGGTGTGAGAGAATTGGCCGTCTGCAAGGACGTTGCCCAGGGGACGCCTGGATAATTTGATGTTTTTATCATCCTTGTGGGAGGCTTCTCTCATGTCCCTACATGAGCTGGAACTGATAGAGGGAGCTCATCCGCCTCTCCTCGGATTTGAACCTGAGACCTGTCGGTCTTCAGTCCTGCCGACACAGGGGTTTAACCCACTGCGCCACCGGGGGCTCCTAGCCAGATTGTTAACAGGAGAGCATACTACTCCTCTGCTGTGTCAGCTCCACTGGCTGCCAGTTTGCTACCGAGCAAAATTCAAAGTGCTGGCTTTTGCCTATAAAGCCCTAAACGGTTCTGACCCAATTAACCTGTCCTAATGCATCTCCCCTTATGAACCATCTAGGACTTTAAGATCGTCCTGGGAGACCCTGCTCTCGATCCCGCCTTCATCACAAAAGCGTTTGGCAGGGACGAGAGACAGGGCCTTTTCCGTGGAGGCACCTTGGCTGTGGAATACCCTTGCTAAGGAGATTGGCTCCTTCATTCCTAACGTTTCAGAGACAGTTATATAAACAAGCATTCACAAATGCAGAGTAACTGACATAGGAAATGGAATCACTCGACAATGGAACTTGGACAACATTATTTAACTAGGAGACGCCGATGATAATGTTGTTTTTATTGTTTTTATTGCTTCTATTGTGATTTTATATTGTTTTAATGTTTAATTTATATTTTGTTGTTATGTGTAGTGACTTGTTGTAAACTGCCTTGAGTCGCCGTTAAGGCTGAGAAAGGCAGTATACAAGTATAGTAAATAAATAAATATGATTCGATAAGATAGCCATCCAGACTCTGCTCTGAAAAGTTAGGAGCAATGTGGACTGCCAGTTAACCTCTACCTCAGACCACGGTTTTGCAGCCATGGGGAGAGAAACTAGATGTTTTCCCCTCTATCTTTAGTATGTTTTTAGTATATTTTCAAATAGTTTAGCATCCTCTCATGTATGGTTACCTGTTCCATGGTGTGGCTTACAATACTTGTTTTAGTTGTCTCAAACCAGCTTGGGAAGGAGGCCAATCAATCAATTGATCAACCCAGCCAATGGAGAGGGGAGGGTTCTGGTTAAACATGAGCCAACAATGTGATGTGGCGGCAAAAAAAGCCAATAGGATTTTAGACCTGTATCAATAGGAGCATAGTGTCTAGATTGAGGGAAGTCATGCTACCCCTCTATTCTGCTTTGGTTAGACCACACCTGGAATATTGTGTCCAATTCTGGGCACCACAATTCAAGAGAGATATTGACAAGCTGGAATGTGTCCAGAGAAGAGTGACTAAAATGATCAAGGGTCTGGAGAACAAGCCCTATGAGGAGCGGCTTAAGGAGCTGGGCATGTTTAGCCTGAAGAAGAGAAGGCTGAGAGGAGACATGATAGCCATGTATAAAATATGTGAGAGGAAGTCATAGGGAGGAGGGAGCAAGCTTGTTTTCTGCTGCCCTGGAGACTAGGATGCGGAACAATGGCTTCAAACTACAAGAAAGGAGATTCCATCTAAACATTAGGAAGAACTTCCTGACTGTGAGAACTGTTCAGCAGTGGAACTCTCTGCCTCGGAGTGTGGCGGAGGCTCCTTCTTTGGAGGCTTTTAAACAGAGGCTGGATGGCCATCTGTCAGGGGTGATTTGAATGCAATATTCCTGCTTCTTGGCAGGAGGCTGAACTGGATGGCCCATGAGGTCTCTTCCAACTCTGTGATTCTATGATTCTATGAACTGTACTTTCATAGAATCATAGAATCAAAGAGTTGGAAGAGACCTCATGGCCATCCAGTCCAACCCCCTGCCAAGAAGCAGGAATATTGCATTCAAATCACCCCTGACAGATGGCCATCCAGCCTCTGTTTAAAAGCTTCCAAAGAAGGAGCCTCCACCACACTCCGGGGCAGAGAGTTCCACTGCTGAACGGCTCTCACAGTCAGGAAGTTCTTCCTCATGTTCAGATGGAATCTCCTCTCTTGTAGTTTGAAGCCATCGTTCCGTGTCCTAGTCTCCAGGGAAGCAGAAAACAAGCTTGCTCCCTCCTCCCTGTGGCTTCCTCTCACCCCCCTGTGGCTTGCTCCCTCCTCCCTGTGGCTTCCTTTGCATTTTGTTTTTCCTGCCAAAGTGGAGTATCTTGCTTGGCAGAATAGGGTTAAACCAGGCATGGTCAAACTTCAGCCCTCCGGGTGTTTTGGACTTTGAATGCGATTTTCCTGCTTCTTGGCAGGGGTTTGGACTGGATGGCAAATGAGGTTCTTCCAACTCTGTGATTGTATGAGCTGAAGTCCAAAACACCTGATCCAACCCATATTCTGCCAGTCAGGAAGGCACAATCCAAACCCTCCTGACAGATGGCCAGCCAGACTCTGCTCTATATAGTTAGGAGCAATGCAGACTTGCCAGTTGATCTCTACTTCAAGCCACCATCTTGCAGCTATGGGGAGAGAAACTAGGGTCAAGGAAGAATGCAGAACAGGCATAGGCAAACTCCGGCCCTCGGCTGTTAGGAATTGTGGGAGTTGGAGTCTATAACACCTGGTCTTAACTCAGAATAGAAGATGAAGCTCATCATAATAAATCCATTAGTTTCCAGATATATCATTAATCCTTCCAGGAGAAGCAGTCTCCTTGCTGCAGGGGACAAATGCTCTATGTACTCGAATGTAATGCTCACTTTTTGGCCTCATCCGTGCTTTGGAGGCTCCAAGTTCCAGAAAAGAGAAGTTTGAAGGCTCTGGGTCTGAGGAGGGAGGGGGAGAGGGGGGCAACGGAAGGAAAGTTTCCGAAAACAACCGAGAAGCGCCGGAGGAGGGGGGAGACCCGCCGATTGAGTCCCGAACCCGGTAAGGAACAAAAGAGCCGGAGAAGGGAGAGGGAGAGTAAGGAGGCAGGATGGGGAATGCAGAAGGGTCTGGGAAAGGAGCGTCGAGGGGAGGGGGCGACAGGACCCGCCAGGAACAAAAGCAGCGGCCTGGACAGGGAGAACTCCCCCTTTGCTTTCTCTCCTGCTTCTGTCCTCTTCCTTCTCCGTTCCTCCTTTCTCTTCCCCTTCTTCTTTCCCTCCTCTTTCTCTTCTTCTTCCTCCTTTCCTCCTCTTTCCCTGCCTTCTCCTCCTCCTCTTTTCTTTCTTCCTTTCTCTTTCCTCCTTCTCTCCCCCTTTCCTCTTCCTCCTTTCCTCCTCTCTTTCTCCTTCTCCTCCTCCTTTCCCTTCCCGCCTTCTCTCCCTCTTCTCTTCTTCTTTCTCTTTTTCTTCCTCCTTTCCTCCTCCTCCTCCTTCCCTCTTCCCTTCCCTCCTTCTTTTCCTCCCTCTCCTCTTCTTCCTTCTTTCTTCTCTTCTTCTCTTCCTCCTCCTCCTCCTCTCTCCTTTCTTCCTCCTTCTCCTTCTCCTCCTTCTCCCACTCCCTCTTCTTCTCCCTCTCTCTTCTTTCTCACTTCTTCCCACTTTCCTGTTCTTTCCCTGCCTCCTTTTCCCACTTCTCCTTCTTTCTCTTCCCCTCCTTCTCCCCTCCTTCTTTCTCTTCTTCTTCCTCTTTTCCTCCTCTATCCTGCCCCCTCCTCTTCTTTCCCTTCCTTTCTTTTCCCCTTCTTCTTTTTCTTTCCTCCTTTCCTTCCTCTCCTCCCTCTTTTTTCTTTTCCTTCCCCTTCCCCTCCTTCTCTTCCCTTCCTTTCTTCTTCCTCCTTTCCCCTCTTTCCCTCCTCCTTCTCCTCTTCTCCTTCCCCCCTTCTCTCCCTCTTCTCTTCTTCTTTCTTTCCTCCTCTCTTCTTTCTCTTCCTCCTCCTCCCCACTTTCCCTTCCCCTCCTTCTCTTCCCTCTCTTCTGTATCTTCCTCCTCCTCCTCCTTTCCTCCTCCTCCTCCTTTCCTCCTCTTTCCCTGCCTCCTTTCTTCTTTCTCTTCCTCCTCCTCTTTCTCCTTCTCCTCCCCCTTTCCCTCCTTCTCTTCTATCTCTTCTTCTTCTTCCTCCTTTCCTCCTCTCTTCCGCTCACCTTGGCGACGAGGAGGGGGGCTCCGTGCTCGAGGCCCCCTTGGAGGGAGAAGCCCCAGGGCGCCCCCCCGCACAGCTGCACCGGCACCAGCTGGAAGGCGCCCCCCGCGGGACCCTCCCCTTCCTCCGGACGGGGCTCCATGAAGCCACGCGGGGCGGATGCATCCCGCAACTCCGTGGCGTGGACGGAGAGAGGGAAGGCGGGCTCCCTCTGCCGCCGTGGCCGCCCCCTTCGCACGCAGGCCGCGCCCACTCGGGAGACAGCCCACGCCCACCCGAGGGGCAGGCCCTGCCCACCCGCTCCGCGTGGAGCCCCTGGAGGGATGCCATTGATGCTTTTGCGGGGCTGTATCTTTCAGAATCCTGCCGCGGGGGCTTCCCAACTCCTTTGTGCTCCTTCTCTGCCCCCAAAGTCTTTCCAAGAATGCCCCCAAGCATCATCCACAAGCATGAGGCGCTACTTTGCACCCATTTCTCTCCCCCTACCTTCCGTAAGATGTCGCGCGCTAGAGCGCAGAGCGCCGGGACTCCTCTTCTCTTCCCACCCCCCCCTTCCCCAGCCCTCCCTTGGTCGCTTGCCCTTAGTTTTTTGGCAATGCGCTGGGCGGGTTCATGTTAAACTGCGGAATTAAGGCGCGGCCCTGGAGCGTCCCGTGAACGCAACCTACATCAAACTAAGGGGGGGGGGGGGGAGGTTTAGGAAAGAGTTTAGGAAAGAGCACTCTGCCCATGCTCAGGAGCCCCAGAAGCAAATCCTTCCTGGTGTTGCATGAGGACTTTCCATCTGTTTTGAATCTGTGTTTTTGATGCCATTGATTAAATATGTTTTGTTTTGTTTTTAGAAACAAAACACCTTTGTTCTATCTATTGTGTGAACTGTGTTTTGGTTCAGCACAGGCCTCGTGTGTTGAACCAAACAGTGCCAACAAAGAGAAAAAAAATTAAGACAAGTGCAAAGAACAGATGTCCCAAGAACTTCTAACTGGACTAAGACTCAAAAGAGACATGCACAAGAAGTGGCGAAGGGGAGAACAGATGTCCCAAGAACTTCTAACGACTAAGACTCAAAAAAGACCTGCACAAGAAGTGGCAAAGGGGAGAAATCACCAAAGAAGAATTCAAACAAATGAGCCAACTCCTGTAGGGAAAAGGTTTGCGGGTAAGCACAAACTGAGCTCAGTCTTGCCAGGAGCATGAAAAACAATAAAAAGAGCTTATTTGCTTAGGAAAAGAACAAGGAGGCAATAGGGCCTCTGTGAGGAGAAGATGGGATAATGCTGACAGGGGACAGAGAAAAGGCAGAACTACTCAATGCCTTCTTTGCCTTAGGCTTCTCACAAAAAGAAAGTCATCATCAAACTCAGCAGTGGACGAAGGATTAGGGGAAATCCAACCCCAAATAGGGAAACGAGTCATCCAGAAATACCTGGCTGCTCTAAACTAATTCAAGTCCTCAGGGCTAGATCAACTACATTCAAAAGTATTGAGGGAAGTAGTGGAAGTAATTTCAGAACTACTGGCAATCATCTTTGAGAGTTCTTGGAGAACAGGAGAAGTCCCAGCGGATTGGAGGAGTGCAAATGTGGTCCCTATCTATCTTCAAAAAAGGAAAAAAAGGACGACCCAAACAATTACCATCCAGTCAGCCTCATGCGGATACTAGGCAAGATTCAGGAAAAGGTAGTTAAGGAAGTGGTCTGCAAACACTTAGAAAGGAACTTCCTCCTCCCTTCTTTCCTTCTTCCTTCTTCCATCCTCCTTCCCTCTTCCTTCCTCCCTCCTTTCCTCTTCCTTGCTTCCTTCTTTCCTTCGCCTCTTCCTCCCTCCCTCCTTTCTCATCCCTCCCTTCTTCCTTCCTCCTTCCCTCTTCCGTACTTCTTCTTTCCTTCCTCCTTCCTTCCTTCTTCCTCCTCCCCTTCCTTTCCTTCCTTCTCCTTCCTTCTTCCTCCTCCTCCCTCTCTCCTTCCCTTTCCTTCTTCTCCTCCCTTCTTTCCTTTTTCCTCCTCCTTCCTTTCTTCTCTTTCTTTCTTCCCTCTTCTCCTCCTTTCCTTCTCCTCCCTTCTTCCTTCTTCCTTCCCTCTTCTTCTTTCCTTCTTCTCCTTCCTTCCTTCCTTCCTCCTTCCTTCCTCCCCTCCCTCCTTCTTCCCTCCTTCCTTTCTCCTCCCTCCCTTCTTTCTTCTTCCCTCTTCCTTTTCCCTTTCCTCTCCTTACTTCCTTCTTTTCTTCCCCTTCCTCCCCCTCCTTTCTCGTCCCCCTTCTCTTCCTCCTTCCCTCTTCTGCACTTCCTCCTTCCTTCCTTCCTTCCTTCTCCTCCCTTCCTCCTTCCCTCCTCCTTTCCTCCTCCCTCTTACCTTCTTCCATCCTTCCTTCCCTCTTCCTCCCTCCCTCTTTCCCCCTTCCTTCCTTCCTTCCTTCCTTCCTTCCTTCCTTCCTTCCTTCCTTCCAGCTTTCAAGGCCTCCTTGTAAGTGCTATGGAAGCAGAGTGGGCAATACTGGCCGATATGAGCCTTTGGCCAGATGGATCTGCCAGCCTTCTACCCCCTGTGAATGATTTCCCTTCTTCCCAGGGTTGGACTTTCCCTCTATGCAGATAATGGACTGCAAGGCCCAGTGGTTTTATCACCCATGGCCCCTGGCCTCCGTGTGCAGCTGCTGCTTTTGGTTGTGGGGCAATGAGCACCCTCCCCTTGCCCTGCTTCACTGCCCACATTAGATAGGTACATACAGGCCATCCCTAAATTACAAACATCCAACTTACAAATGACTCATAGTTAAGACAACAGGAAGTGAGAGAAATCTCCCCCTCGGAAAGGGAATTCACTCATGGAAGAAAGGGGTCTCCATGAGTGAATTCCCAATCCTAGTTCCACAACAAGGCATATTTTCCAAAATCCAATTACACTAGTAAAAGGTAAATGTTTCCCCTGACATTAATTCTAGTCGTGTCCAACTCTGGGGGGTGGTGCTCATCTCCATTTCTAATCCGACGGGCCAGCGTTTTCCGTAGACGCCTCCAAGGTCATGTGGCCGGCATGACTGCATGGAGCACTGTTATCTTCCCGCCAAAATAGTACCTATTGATCGACTCACATTTGCATGTTTTCGAACTGCTAGGTTGGCAGAAGCTGGGGCTAACATTGGGAGCTCACCACGCTCCCCGGATTCCAACTGCCAGCCTTTCGGTCAGCAAGTTCAGCAACTCTGCAGTTCAGCTCACTGTTAATTACACGATATAGCAATTTTTTTAGAAAAAAATCTGTTTCTGGTTTGAAAGTGTTATTTCCTGTTTAGTTGTGTGGGTCCTTAATTTGGAAGCACTTGTTCTCCCTCGGAAACTTAATTTTTGTGACTGCCACAGACTACGTGGAATTGGTTGAGATCCAGGGAGAGATTCATTACAAAACTAGAGCAAAATGTGCTGCAGGATGTCCCTCCCACAAAGACAATGTTTTTGCAGTTTAAACAACTTTTCCCATGTTTTTATGATAGAACCTATTAGGAAATGACATTGATAACCCAGGAACAAAATTCATGTTACATATTATTATCACAGGGACAGAAGGGGAGGTGAAATCTTCTGAACACCCAGACAGCAAAACAAACACCACGGGTGGTAGTAACCCTTCCCTATTTATTTATTTATGTATTTATTTATTTACCACATTTATATGCTGCCCTTCTCACCCTGAAGGGGACTCAGAGCGGCTTACAAGCAATATGTAAATACAATATATTATATTATTACCATAGCACAATATTAGTATTAGATATTACTATATTGCACTATACCATTATACTGTAATATTATTAGTAATATTACATGTAATATAAATATATATAATTATAACATATTAGGTTTTTATTTTTTTAATTTTTAAAATACATAACGTACACACACAAAACATTAACAATTCCCACCACCAACACGAGGATTGTTTTCTTTTACATATTCATTTCTTTTTGAGACAATCTTTATATCTTTATACATTTCCATCCTATATACTATAGAACATCTGTATCTTATTTCTTATGGCTTGATCTCCAGATTGATTCATGATATATTTCTTTACCCTTGTCCATCTTTCTTCCATTTCTCTCATTCTATTTTCATTGATTTTTAAATCATTTAATTTCACATTCATAATTTCAAATTCCATTTGCTCCACCATATATTGGTACCATTTATTTACTGTCCGTTTTGATTTATCTTTCCACCCTAATACTATTACTGCTTGTGCACAATTAATTATTGCTTCTTTTATTAAATAATAAATATAATATATTAGTATTATATTGTATCTTCTATCTATATATATATAAATGCTCTGTGCATAGTGAGTTCCTTAAAAACAAAAGAACCAATGAACGAAATTACACCAAATTTGGCAAGAAAATGTATCACAACACAAGGAGTGACCATCACTCAAAAAATTATGATTTTGTCATTTGGGAGTTGTAGTTGCTGGGATTTATAGTTCACCTACAATCAAAGAGCATTCTGAACTCCATCAACGATGGAATTGAACCAAACTTGGCACACAGAACTCCCCTGACCAACAGAAAATATTGGAAGGGTTTGGTGGGCATTGACCTTGAGTTTGGGAGTTGTAGTTCACCTACATCCAGAGAGCACTGTGGACTCAAACAATGATGGATCTGGACCAAACTTGGCACAAGCACTCAATACGCCCAAATATGAACACTGGTGGAGTTTGGGGTAAATAGACCTTGACATTTGGGAGTTGTAGTCACTGGGATTCACAAGGAGGGAAGGAGAGGAAAGAAAGAGAGAAGGAAAAAGTAAAAGAAGGAAAGAAAGTGAGAGGGAAGGAAGGAGAGAAGGAAGGAAGGAAAGAGAGAAGGAAGGATGGAACCAAAGAGCAAAGGAAGCGAGGGAAGAAACAAGTAGAGAAGAAAGAAGAAGGGAAGGAAAAACAGGGAAGGAAGGAAAGAGGGAGGGAGGGAAGGAAGGAGAGAAAGAGGGAGGGAAGGTTGGCCACAGCAATGCGTGGCGAGTAAAGCTAGTTATATTATATTATTAACACAGTGCAGAAGACAAAATGGAACTGTCTTCCTGGCCCCCTCTCTTCACTCTGGTCACTTCCCTATGTGATCCAAATCATGCATGTATGTGTGTGTATAGCTAGAGTTACACTTTAAAAAGTAGCTGTTTCGACTTACATACAAATTGAACTTAAGATCAAGCCTCTCTTGTTCATACCTTGTCTATCTATCTATCCATCCATCGACGTGCACAGT